GATATATATACATATATATGTATCCCCCATTTTGCTATTGTCTTTCCTTGAAAATCCAGGTAAGACAATAGGAAAAATGGGGATATGTATATATGTATATATCTCAAACATGTCATAGTTTTAGGGATTCAGTGTATATGTATATATATGATGTAATGCACTGTACAACTACAAAACTAAGATATATACATATTAGATAAATATTTTGATAAATGCTCTAGAATAAGCTAGTAGTAATAATATTGAATAAATTACATGTGCAAAATAAATTCAGTTATTAGTAAATCTAGAAAAAATTATAAATAAGCTTACAAGTGTAAAAAGATATGTCTTTGGTGCTTTCTCAAAATTAATTATGTTGTCAACAGCTCTTATTCAAGTAATTTGCAGTCTCAGATAGTCCATAAATGTGAATTTAATATGAATACGAAAATATTGCCTGTTAGCAGAGCCTATTTTCCTTTTAAAAATAGTACTTCCTATTTTTCTACCTCCAAAGCAAAAGAAAAAAGGCTTTAAACTAAAGGAAAATAGGCTCTTCTAACAGGGAAATGAAAATATGGAATGAATTTTTTTCATTCAAGTAATTTAGCAGCCTTGAAATAGTGATAATGATCATTCATGACTAATGTACTTATTAAGAGCCAGTGTTGTACTGTTTTAGGCAATTCAAGGTGACACTAAAATGTGATGCAACAGAAAAAGGCTCCTTTGGGGATGGGATATCAGAATCTGGTGTAGGTGAAGAAAGTAAATATGTGAGTATCCATGAGGTTTGAAGCAATTTTTGATTTTCAAATTTTATTGATACCCTGAAACAACAAAATTTCTGTGGGGAAAAAACAATATGAGAGTTGAACGAGAATTTTGTATTTTACATACAAAGTTTTTTGACATTTATTTATTCAAGCTTATGAGCCTTTGGCTTATCTTCTTGACATAATAGAGGACCTTACCTCCTTTAAAACGATTAGCTGTGTTAAAATGAACATTAGGAATGAAAAGACTACCTCAATATTAGTAGCTCGGCAGAGTTTTAGCTCATAAAATGCAAAAAAGGAGAAATGGCATTAAATATAAATTCATATATTTTATAAGGATTTGTATGAGCAGTATAATAATGTGCTCTTTGCCATCCAGCCCTTTTCCCCATACAAATCCTTATAAAATATTCGATTTTATATTATTATTATTAATCTTATAGTCAACATTATGAGCTGAAACTTCGCCCTCTTACTAATGTTGAGCTGCTTTTTTCATTTCTAAAGTTCATTTTCACACAACTGCTCGTTTTAGGGAATTTAGGACTACCTGTTAGCGCAAGTCGTCTATTAAGAAAAAGTTTAGCTAAATATTTGTAAAGTTGTGTCCCACATCAAAAGAGATTTGTAAAAGCCCCTGGGGGTGGGGCCCCGGGTGAAAGTATAGAGGATGCTTGTGTCTTTTTGGGGTTCAATTTGCGATTTGGTACATCTTATAGGTTATATTGAATCTAATATCTAAAAGCCTGTTTTCACTAGTATGTTTTTAATAGACCATTTTCTCAAGGTCGCGTGCGCATCCAACTTGACGGGCCACTAGTCAGTTTTATATTTAAAGAGGAGAATAATCGATTTTGTGAATTCCTATCGAAAAAAGTTCATATCAATGCATGATAATGCTCGTGTTCTGGTATCGTGGCCCGTAAAGTTCCTTAAATTTGGATGCGCACGCAACCTTGATAAAACGATCTATTAGTGTGCCGAACAAGAAAATCCATGAATATTAACTCCCCTCTTTTAAAATTATATAAACAAGAATGACACTATTTTATCATTTAAAAGTATGGTATCTCTTGGGGTTTAAAATCTACAATATAAAGCCACGCCCAATTAAAAAACTTTTGGTGTCTCTTAGAGTTACAGTATGTGGATTTTCCAACAAGGATTCCCTCTGCCGGGCCCAAATCCTACTGAACTATGAAAACCAAGGGTTCGCGATGCAAGGAATTTTGCAGCAAAATACAAACTCTTGATGTATTTATATCTTTGATTCCACAGACTGGTACTTTTACTTCCAAGTGTTCTTGTGCTGGGAAATGTAGCTATTCATCCAGTTATTTTTCATCTGGCCATGGTCCTAGCGTTGGTAGCATTCTCCTCATCATGTAAGGATAACAGGCAATCAAAGGGGTCTCGCCTTATCTCTGGGGTCTCTTATCTCATTAGGGTCCACAATAAGGGTTCTCAGRTCTCGTATTTAACGTTTTCTCTCGTTCATGCGCCGCCCTTAAATAAGCGCCCCGCAACTAAGACCAAAATTATGAATAAGCGCCGCCTTTAACCATACAAAAACGTTTATATTTCTGATCGAATTCGAATTTAAACAATGTTTGAATAACTTTTTTAATGTTATTGATTTGTGGAGGGAGCATTCTTGTTCCCAGTAGGTTGATTTAAAGTTAAGAAAAGAGCGGGAAACTTTTACTTTCGACAAATGGTACACGCGTCTATCGGAAGAACCGAAAAGAGCGGGAAAATGGAAAACATGTTGCATGATGGAAATGACACATACCATTTGTTTTCCTAAACGAAATTTCCGGTTTTTCCGAGTAAATGGTAAGCCCTGATGTACAGCTACAAACTTTTTTACACTGTGTTTAAGTTTCCTTCTTAACTTCGCTTCGATCGTTCCACTAGTAACCGCTAGTCATTTCCAGATTTTTTTATTTGTTTTTGCAAAGAGAAGGGGGTAACGGATGTCCTTTAATACTTCCCCCAATCTGCCGTCCTAATATCTCCCAGATACACGAAAGTTCATGGAAGTTTTTCTTTTCGTTTAGATTTTTCTCTCTCCTAGTTATGTACTTTGTACTTGGTATCGTTGTGAATAAGTACGCCATACATAAAGAAGGTTCAGATGTCATTCCAAATCGTTCGTTCTGGAGTGACTTACCATTTCTCATAAAGGTTGGTATACATATAAAAGGGTTGTCTGAGGAGCCAAGTTTATTCTTGTGCAGTTAATACAATTCTGGTACCGTCCATATGTATCTGAATATTTTTTGAAAACAGATACGCTATGTGTGGACGAAAATATTTTTGGAAAAAAAAAAAAAAATTTCCTTTTTTAAAATATCCAAATACGTGTTAGTGGACGAGGCCTCAGTACTGCTGGCAGCCAACAAAGTCATTTATTGCTGTTTCAATTAGTCGTCCATAACTGGATGCATTAACATTAGGAGACTGGAGTATAATCATAGAATGTGGAGTGGTTGTGTGTGATTTTGTGTTGTGGAGTGGAGTGAGGGAAACCATGGAATGTGGTGTGGAGTGGAGTGGAGTGAGGGAAATCATGGCATGTGGTGTCATTCGTGGTGTTGTGTGGAGTGGTGGAGTTGAGTTGAGTGAGGGAAATCATGAAATGTGGTGTCGTTGCGTGTAGTGTGGTATGGATTGGTTGTTTCATTTTTGGAGGGGTAAAGGTATATGTAATGCTTATTAAACTCAATTTTTTCTTTCCCTTCCAGGATGGTTGTGTGTTTTTTGGTGGGAAGGTTAAAGGCTGCTGCTCGTCTTTATGCAGCAAAGTCAAAGGAGATGAATCCTACACTGAAATTTAAAAATAATTGAATTGTCTTGAATTTATTTGATTCCATTCGATATCAATAGAATTTCGATATCTCAAACAAAGATATGAAATTCTGAAAAACCCACTTTGAACCAGTCATATAATTCATGGTTTCGACTCAGACAATAGCGACCTATCGCAACAATCACCGTTGCAGCAGCAGTTTTCCCAGTGGAATTAAAATCGTGTCCCACAAACAGTTACACCGCATCTGTTTAAAAGAATACTACGAGGATTGCCAAGCATTTTTATTTTATTTTTACAGGAAAGCAAACAAGAAAAAGGAAAAAATAAATAAAACAAGGTAATAAAAACAACAACAACAAAATATCAATTTTATGCCAGCTTAAGATTATGAGATATTCGATTCTAGCTAATTTGTTGAGGTCGTGCGACAGAGAAACGGTAACTAAGGGAAGTCGGAACCATGAATTATCGTTGCTCTTAACCAATAATCTCTTAGTTGATGAACTCAAAGCAATAGGTGCTCACACTCTACGTCCCAGTATTTTACATTCTGTAATTCCACTGATAACAATTATTGCAGTCAATTGTACATTGCACTGATATATTTTTGTAATAAATGCTTCACGGCAAACGTGAAACGAAACGTCAGTTGACCAGTGAAAAATTCTTGAAAATGTAAAATAAAAAGAATGAATGAACCTTTATTTATACAGGGTAGCCCTTTCAGTTACATAAAACAACTGTTATCAATAGGAGCCCTAAAGGAATGGCAGAAATCTTTAAAGTGGTAAGAAATTTCGCAAAAACTAAAGTAAGATACAGGAAAACGATAAAAATGCGATCACGTTTGCCGTTTACAACGTCATTCCTGTTTGTTCTTAGGCGGGCTCAGATTTTCACAGGGGTCAGAGGAAAAAATGCTACAATGAGTCCACACGCCGGAATTACCTTATTTGTTCGCTTCTTATTCGATTTTTCGTCGAACTCAGGATTTTTTTAGAACTGCTTTTCGTTTTGGACCCAGAATTTATTTTTCAGGGGACGTAGCAAGTCCTCGACTTTTGGAGGGCACGTGCCCTCTGTCCCCCTAGCTACGGCTAGGTGTGTTTTTCATCATCTGCACTAGGGTAATCCGCGTACAATAGGCAAAAATTAGCAGATTTTGACGGCAACACATGGGTTTCTCTGTATAAAATCCTGCTTTCATGATTTAGCAGAGTTAAGTCGTAGACTTAGGGCTTTCTTGAACCGTACGAGGAAGTCGTCGGCAACGACCCACACACCTCCCCACAGCGGTGAGCTATAGCCTCTATGGTTAGGAGCTCCCGCTCTCTCCTAAGCCTCGGGTTGATTTTCCCCCATATCTTAAAGGCGTCTACACGAGCAATTTTCATGTGACAACTTTATGTGGCAACTTTTGTTTGCTTGTGTAGACGATCGACAAATATTTGCTGTCAATTTGCGTCAGTAATAATTTCTGACAGCGGAGCCGATGAAATGAAGGCTAGTGAACAAAACAAGATGGTGCCAATAAAGAAAAGAACTAGAAATGCTGCTGCAATAACCACTTTATTGATGATATATCAAATAGAAAAGACTAAAAAATACATAGAAGATGTTCGGTGAAACTCTGGAAAACCCAGTTACGTAGAGAGGCTCGAGGATTTCCTGATAATCTTGTAAAAGAGTAGATGGAAACGTGATGGCTTTCAAAACTTTTTCGGGTCAGTAGTTTCAAGTTTATTTTCCCGTTCTTTTATTCTCGTGGTTTTTCTTTTCCTCTTTTTTTAATAGTATCATGTTTTTTCTCTCTCTTGAAGCCGCCATGTTTAAATGCGCACACGTCAAAATAATTGCCACATTTATGTCTCGTCTCGTCCACACGGACAAGTTTCGGTGTGTGGCAAATTTTAAAACCAATCAAATGAAAAATGAGAACAGTATAATATTTTAAAGTTGTTTCGAAGCTCAACAGGTTAAAGGTTGGCACTTCTCAGTATTCGTACGTGTTGGAATTGAAATCCAAGATTTTATGACTTCAATCCATGACTAAATTTTGCTCTCGTGTGTTGTTTATTCTTCGTACAATGAAGTGAAGTACAGAAAACATGACACGTTAATAGCGAAGCACCATGCTTAAGAAAAAATGGTAAACCATCGAGTTGATTTTTCATGGCTTGGCTGACGTCACTTCCGTCCGTCCGTCCGTGTATCCCGCTTGATGTGAAAGCAAAACTACTCACAAATGTGGCTCTCAATAGCACAGATAAAAGCGGTTTAGTACAAGTTATAGACCAAAACAATTTTCAAAAAAACTTTCATGTAGTCAAAGATGGATCCATAAGTGTTCTTCAAGAATTCAGGTGTGTGTTTTTTAGCAAACAATCGTATATTATTATATTTTTGACAAGCATTTTTCTCGACCAATCGACAAATCAAAGACTTTCTCTCAGAATTAATATTTCTATAGATATCCTTAATTTATTTTAATGCTGTAGAAAATATAACACGGAGAGCATACTAAGAAAAAAAATTTTCGTCTTTCATTTAGCTTTGTAAATCTTTAACAATTCGGTTGATTTTAACCAACTATCGTATGTTTTTCGTCCAAGTACAGCAATGCTAGCCTTCTATCGCGGGATCGGCAAACCATGAAGAAGACTTTCATTCAATAATTTAATATGTATCTTTCTACAGATAATTTATTTAATTATTGAATGAAATATAAATTTACACCAAA